AAATTTGCTTTGATCTCGAGAAGATATGAAGGACAGGTGAACATTTGGAGGTGTTAATCAATTAGATTAACGCAGTGGATAATCGAAAATAATTTATTTTAAATTTTGAATCCTGATTCTCAGTTCTCTCGCATGTTTATTTGATCGAAACGACTAGGATTTGAAAGCCGCCGCTTAAAGTTTCTTGTTGATCACATTTATATATCAATTGTATCATATGTTGAACTATGTTGCATTTTGAAAAATACTACTTCGTAACATTATACAATCACCTATTATACGAAATTAGAATAATATATCAATGTTATGTACCATGAACAACCATAACATTTGCCATTGATACTAATATTAAATATGTTCATTACTCTTTATCAGGCCCTGATACAGTATACGGAAATTGAAAAAAGGATTTAAAGAACATGAGCAGTTAATAAAATAAAAACATATTTCCAACGGCAGTAACAAAAAAATGGGTAAGTAAAAGTGAAACAATCATTACATCTAATTATTACTTTCCACATTACCAAAAACGCAGACTTACATAAGATTAAGAAAGAGCTATAACATTTAGAAGACATGACAAGTCAGAGTTACTGAAAGACCTGTTTTTTAAAAGTATTTTATAATTTCATCAGGCACTAATGCTAGCTTTTCGGTCAAAATACGATATTTTTTTTCGTTAGAGAAACGCCTAAAATGTTTAAAATATATTTTGCATTTAAAGTAGACGGGTTTTTAATAATCCATATACAAAAAAAATAAATAAATAAATAATAAATTTTAAAGTTGTGAATATAAATTTTTTATTAAATATAAAGGGAGATTATTGAGTTATTTGATATTTTTTTTATTGAAAATTAATGTGGAACAACGTATTCAACAAATATATATATATACATACAAATATACACTCCCCAAATTCTCAATCACCATGACTATTCCATACAACACTTCTAATTGGTACAGAAATATAACCATTAACACAGTGATAATAACGTTAAATCAGTTATCTATTAAAGTTCTGTTTTTTTATCATTTTTTTTTTACAATTTACAGCGCCCGAAGGCCACTCAAGGTAGAGGGTTACGTTAAGACATACTTTATACGGATAGTAAGGGAAGATAATAGTTAACCCTAGACATGAACAGCTTATGATTGTAGTGATCGGGAAAATATCCTTTTGGGAGTCTGTTCTACAGTGCAGTAAGGAAGCTTCCTGAGTGAAACTTACTAATGTAATACGGAGAGAATGAAGATGCTTTGCTACAATTTGAATGGAATGGCGGGGCGTAGCCGTAAGGCTTAGACCAGGGATCTAATAATTTTGTTCAAAAATTGAAGTGTACGGCTGTATCACATTTAAACAGCGGTTCCCGGAAAATAACCAAAAGTAAGCAATGTCGAGCATGGTCAGTATTTAGATGGGGGACCGCTTGTGAATACCTGGTTTTGTAACCTTGAATGTGAATGTGTGGTAATGGATAATGGCTTGGAATTGATCATCTAATTCTACTTGCTTTTGTTATATTCATTTATGCTTAAATACACTTGGGAAAAGTATGGGTTCACATCTTCCTCCCAGCTATGGGTTAATATTTGAACGAAGTAGCTAAGTGGTTTTGGCTACTATAACCAAGTAGAATACGGTAGCAGTAATCGACTGGTACGCGTCGTAGTCGCAGGTAAGAAGTGTAGATCAATGGCGTAGTCCAATGGGCGTCGTTATAGACTTAGCTCTCAGACTAAGGCTCTTTGGCTCTCCTACACGTCCGTCGGTATTTATGACGGACACCAGCCAATCATATTCCAGTGAGGGGGAACACAAGTGTACGCATATACCATTACATAAAGAGGTTAACATAAAACAATCATTATTGAAAATGTTATTCGTTCTATATATACGGGATATATGTGAGTCAGTTTATTTTATCTAATTTATTATTCATTTTAATTATTAATTTTATTTATGTGTAAAAACACAGAAAAGCAATAATTTTGTAAATTAATTACAAATTTGGCCTACGAGCCAAAGAAAGTTGGTGGGGGAAAGAATCAGTAGTTGAAAAGTTATTATATTATTTTTTTTAATTTTCTTAGATTAATCATTCTTTTAGTTTACTTTGAAAAATGAATGTTTTTTTTTTATTATTTAGATTTCCTCAAGGGATTTTCAAGTTTGGTTCCTTAAAACATTTGACATAATTTTTATTTTCAAATCACTTTTTACTAAAGAATTTTGAAATATTTTTTTTTTTTTTATTTCTTATTTTTTGCACTCAGGTTATTAGTTCCTGCTGGCTTAGCATTGAAAATCTCTGTTTAGAACGCACACAAATCGATTTGAAAAAATAAATGAGAGTACCAGAATTGATTTTTATTTTTGTTATTGCTAAATCCTTTTTCTGTGTATTTCGCTTTGTGCAATTGGAAGGGGGGGTGGGGTGGGGATGATTCCACTCCAGATTTCTTTCTGCTTTCTTCTTTCATTCAGACGACATCTTCCCCTTTTCCTATTCACAATCACGCACTCCTACCCAAACCGCAATACCCCTCAATTCTATTTTCCGACAAACCAGCGTCCTTTTTTTTTTTTTGTTTTGTTTTGTTTTGTTTTTTTGGCATGCATGTTAGCGCTGTTTATTTTGCACTTTTTCTTTTACTCAATTCAGTGACAAAATTTTACGGCTGCCACCAACCAATTTGGAACGACACACACTCTCACTCACTCACTGACTCACGCATTGAATCTCTCTCTCTCTCTCTCTCTCTCTCTCTTTTTCTCTCTCTCTCTCACTTTCGACGTTTTTGATTGCATTTGTTTATTTATATTGGATTTTTCTTTTCAATATAGCTTACTCCAATTTCTCTGCCTTTCCCCATTACTTACCTATCTATCTATCTATCTATCTATCTATCTATCTATCTATCTATCTATCTATCTATCTATCTATTGTGCAACTCTTCCACTCTCTACCCAAGTCTCTTCACATCTATCTATCTATCTATCTATCTATCTATCTATCTCAGTCTATCACCTTATCTCTATCTATCTATCTATCTATCTATCTATCTATCTATCTATCTATCTATCTATCTATCTATCTATCTATCTATGCATCTATCTATTGTGCAAGTCTCTTCCTACCTATCTATCTATCTATCTATATATATATATATATATATATATATATATATATATATATATATTGCGCACGTCTTCCACTGTCTACCCAAGTCTCTTCATCTATCTATCTATCTATCTATCTATCTATCTATCTATCTATCTATATATATATATATATATATATATATATATATACCATCTATTGGAGTTTGTCTATTGTTCCGCGATTCTCGTTAACATTATACTAGTCGCTAATGATTCTTCTGATGAAGAGATGACCGAAAACAAGGTTACTTTTTTAAGGTTAAATTATGTAGGTTCACCTATTTAAGCCTAGGTTTCAGTTATGTGGTAGACATACGTATATATATATATATATATATATATATATATATATATATATATATATATATATATATATATATATATATATATATATATATATATATATATATATATATCACAGTTATTTTCTATTTCTCTATTTCACCACTGTCTGTCTCTCTCTCTCTCTCTCTCTATCTCTCTCTGTCTGTCTGTGACTGAGATCATCTGTTTATAACTAATCCTATTGCTTGAAAATTATACAGTTTTGTAACTTAGCCATTTCAATGACTTTTATTTCTCGGAAATGTAAATCATCGCATAAAACTCTTCCGCTACGCTTCAAATTAATTGTTACCTTTCATTCTTTTCTTATCCGATTTTCGTCAGCCATTATTTCCTGACATCCCTATTTAGTCTCTTCTTCAACTTTCTTCTTCTTCTTCTTGCAATCATTTTATTAAATGACATAAATATATGTCCCTCTCCATTTTCGAACATTCTATTGTCTTTCCTTTCACACCAACACACGTGACAATTTTATTTTTCTTTACTATCAGGCCAGTCGTATGATTTCTTCCTCATCCATCAACACAACTTACAGCATCTTTCCCAAACAAGCTTGAGAATATATTATGGTAACCCGGATATAATGGAACTATTTTTTTTCATTCATACCGATAAAAAAATAATTTTACTATTTGAAAGTTATTCCATTTCTTGTTAATTTGGAAGGTCACACAGATAAGATTTTCGTTTTTCGCGAAAGGTTGAAGGTTATTTTGAATATCCCATTACTGTTTTCATAGCATATCTCATAGATGTTGATATACCGATAAACAAAAACAACAAAACCAACCATAACATACCTATCTCTGTAGGATATCAATATAGATCAAGTTATTTTAGTTTATTAGATAACTATATATGTATCTATTTATCTTTACGTGTAATCCTTTACATCTACCTGCTTATATAATTTCTTTTCCTTGAAAAATAAAACGAACATGCCGAAACACGCACATACACGCATAGAAACACGAACTCATGTATATGTATCTATGTGTTGGTGTGTGTGAGAGAAAGAGAGAGGGTTCAAGCAAAATGTTTACAAAGGTCTCTAGAGACTAACTAAACAGACGAAGACAGTTTATGTTTTAACAGAAAAAATAACTGGAAACTTCTGAATATAGTAACAGGTTAGCTAAGGAAACGATTAACTAAATCATTTTATTTTCTCAATAAAAACGATAAGTAAATGGTCGCTAGATATATTTTCAGGACTGATATCTGTGTCTATTGAAGACTAAGTTATAATTTTTAACTTTCTCTTTGAAAGATAAAAGCAGTTGGATGATACCAAGTTTAATGTAACGTGATGTCCTACGTATCACGCCACAGATCGTGCCAGCGTAGATTTTGCACACATTGACCTTGAGAGGAGAAGCTGCTGGGTTGACCAATTAGTTTGACAGGGACCGGGCCACATGATCGGGCCAACTCTACCTTCGATGCAAGCATGAGAAAGGACAGAATGACCGATATATATATATATATATATATATATATATATATATATATATATATATATATAAAAAAAGAGAAGAGAGGTGCCGCAAACGTTTTGGTTGTAATGTGGATTTATTTAGAATATATATATATATATATATATATATATATATATATATATATATATATATATTATATATATATATATATATATATATATATATATATATATATATATATATATATAAACACCTGCGCTGTAAAAAGAAAGTGTCTGACATCGAAAAGATAAACGTAGTGTCTACGTTCAAAATAGCCGCCAACTACACATGCATGCACGCGCGCGGAAAATGTCTCTCTCTCTCTCTCCCCCTCTCTCTCTCTCACATATATATATATATATATATATATATATATATATATATACACGTAGATATATAAATAACAGACGGTAACTAAAGAAATGCTGAGTTGCATAAAATATAAACTTACGTATGAGAGATGCAGATAGGTGCTATCATTTGCCATGTAAGATAAAAGTAATTTCGATGAATATATGGAGGGAATGTAGCAATATATTTATGTATATACTTGAAGAGATTCACAATCAGTATACATCCTGAGTGAATTTCACGAATCCCAACCAACGCTAAATGGAATAACATGAATTCAGAATTGTTCCAAAGACTGCCATTTCTTAAGACGGTAAAGTTCTTCAAAGCCATTTTTGTCTTTCTATTGTATAAAAAGACTTTCAATAATCATATTTGAAGAAGACAAATGTTGTACAACATTAATATGTCCTCGATGTATCTCAGTAAGAGTGTCGCTGATTTCTCTTCCAGTAATATTTTCGGGTTGGCGCATTAGGAATGATTTCAGGATAGACCAGGTAGAGATTTCAAAATAACCATGATAACTGATCATTTGGTCAAATTTTATGAAACAGTTTAAACTAAAATAACTTTGAAACCTACTCGTAACAATTTCTTAAAAGACAAAATGAATCAGTTCACACCCAAAAATGTGATTATGCCACTACAACGCAAGCGGCGACTTGAAGTGAACCATAACGTTTTAAAAATAACCGGAAGTTCAATCCTAAACAGAAAACAAGGGATAAAGCTCAAGTCCGATTAAAAACAAACCGGGGAGGAGTTTAAACCGAAGTCTGTTGGTTTGTTTTGATTTGTGTCGTTCTCTCTGTGTGTGTGTGTGTGTTTTCAGTGTAAGGAGGTTTTAAACGATCAATTGATACGGTGTCTTTCTTTTCCTTTTTTTTAAATGGTAAAATATTTTTCATGTTGTTCTATCACTTTATGTGACGTGAATAATTTTGTAATAATGGCTTCTTCCCCATGTCATTCAGGAGAAAAATATACTCAAAATTATGTAGGTCTGTAGATATAAAAAAATTCTTTAGTCAACAAATCTATTGGGTGTAAAAGTAAACCTATACATTTTGTCTTTTAGTTCGGGGACAAAGTCCGTATATGGGCTCGATATTTTGTCTACCTCAAAATGGTGACCGGGTAATATCAGTAAGGTACCAAAAACGATGTCTCCTGGTGTGCTGTGTAGGTCTACTTTTAAGGCATTTCGTATTGATTGGAGAGTAATAGGTAAGTTATCTGCCAGTTGTAAATGTCAATCTTTATATCTAGCGCAATTTTTATCTGTCTGTTTAATCTTTCCACATTTTCATTGACTCCGAACAAGCTGACAAATTCCTTTGAAAGTATGAACTGAAACTGTGATCCTCTGTCAGTGTAATCAAAGATAACACTCCAAATGTACTGATCCAGTTTCCCAGTACAACTTTTGCATTAGTCTCTGCGGGTGTATTTGGAATAGGAAAGGCAGCAGACTATCGATTAAATCGATCCACTATGGTGAGCAGGCTCCAGATCCATCTAGGAGAGGTCCCACAATGCCTATGTGCAAATGCGGGAACCAGTTGCGGAACGTAGGTTTTTACGTGTTGTAATATGAAACACGAGTATGACTTCTAAAGTCCACTACAAGCACATGGTGGACTCAGGTTGAGTCCAACCAAAGAAATTTAAAGAAAACAAACAAGATCGATATATATGTACAAAAAAGTATATGTATTAAACAACAACCTGTGTGTGGAAATGTCTTGTTCAATGAATATTCGTACGTACGTGTGTGTGTGTGTGCGTATGTGTTTGTGTGTGTGTGTGAGAGTGTTTCATGTCGTTTCCCTCAAAAGGGCAAAATGCAAATCTCCGCGCGAGATGACATTTTCAAGTGTGTCTGTTGAAATGCAAACTGAAAAAGACCACGAGGAAATAAATGTTCAAGTATTTATAGTCTAGAGGTACCGTCTCCTAGGAAACAGTTAGGATAATTTGGCAATTAAGGAAGAGTTAACTCCGACAAACCTACCGATGTGCGTCTATGGAATTTCTCAATCAGCCATTTTGTATGATTCTCAGTTTTCTGTTTTGACAATGAATGCATTGCTGCGTCAGTGGACTTCCTATTTGATGAGTTGACTCTTGTTGGGGGAATTTTTTATTCATAGCACCTATCTTCTCTAGTAGAGGTGATATTTATGTTTCTTTTACGGTGTGTCCTAAAAATGAAAGTTTTCTTTACATCAGACGTGCATTAAATTTTCAGTCAAAAATGCTACAGTTGTTCAGAAAAAAAAACAAAAAAACTCGCAGATTTTCCATCTGTTTGTTCATATTTCTGCTTGCTGTTAACACATCGTCGATGTATGCGAAACTGAAAGATAAAGCTCTTTATACTTCGTCTGTCAACCTTTTAAAAGCCTAAGCCTTGTTTCTTATACCAAACTAAGTCTGGTGAATTCGAATAAATCGAAACGGGTGGTAATAGCAGACTTTTCGATATCGTTTTCTTCGATGGAGTTTTGATAGTATGCCTTGATTAAGTCAATTCTGGTGAAAATGTTCATATCCCGTAATTCCACCGCGAAATCATATGAATGCGAAATAGGATAGAAATCTCGAACAACTTGATAAATTTAGTCGTACTAAATCGCCATACGCACAACAAGCAGAAAAATAATGCTTTCAGTATCATTAGCAACGGGTTTACGACTGGCTCTTGAAAGCTCAGCATTTTCTGAAATTTCTCTTTTGCTTTCTTGTATATTGCCGGGGTAGAATGGGTCGGTTGTCCTGTTGTTTGAATATGTTGTTTAACAGTGTGTAATACTGTCAGTAGGTTTAAAGGGGTTGTAATTCATGGAAATTTACGAAGAATTTCACGAAAATGTTGTCGTTCTGTAGTGCTGAGCTGTTGAAAGATATCGGGAAGGCGTTCCATGTATTTTTAATAGTTTGTTGTTGTCTATCTTGATAGACATATTCCCTGAAAGATTGCATTTTGTTAGGAAGTCTGCTCCTAGTGTAGGTGCATT